TGTTTGACTTCCTCAGTTCCTTTCTTAACTCCCCTTTCTGCTCATTCACGTTTTCTATAGGTAAACCCCTTTATTCCAGAGACCTCTACAACTTCTCCTATTGGCTTCCGAAGGAATATCTTTAGGTCCTTTCTTGTTCTGCAATGCTTTTATTATGTTTTCTCTGGCTATCTTTCCACTTCCCATTGGTGCCTCAAATTCAGTTCATGTGAAATAGAATTTGCTGTCTCGTTTCTTGACTCAAATCTGTTCTTTTTTTTTTTTTTTGCCTCTTTAGAGCTAAAAAGTCCCAAGCAGAACACCAGCTCCTATGCTAATATGTACTTTTCATGAATTAGTGCATATCATCCTCACAATAATTCTATGTGTTACTTTTATCCTCCTTTATATGTGAAGAAATGGAGGTCAGGGGGGTTAACTAACTTGCCCAAGAACACTCAGGTTGGAAAAGATGGTTTCAGGACTTGAATTCAGGCCCATTCAGCTCAAACGCCCATTCTCCTCATCACTCTGCCCGCACTACCTTCCAGGCGTTCATGATGGCTGAACTTTTCCTGCCGACCCTCAGTGTTCTTTGATTCTTCCCACTTCTCATTGTTACATTCAGTCGTTCACCAAGCTGTCCATTCTGCCTTGAAGAATATTCGTTAAATCTCTTCCTTCCTTTCTATTTCCAGATCCATGTTCCTTTGTCTGCCTGTTGGTTTTAATTGCCCCTGAGCTCCCACTTGGTACCCTTCATCCAATCTTCACTTCATGTTACTGTCAAGGTAATCTTTTTATTTATTTATTTATTTATTTATTTATTTATTTATTTATTTATTCTTATGTTAATCCCCATACATTACATCATTAGTTTTAGATGTAGTGTTCCATGATTCATTGTTTGTGCATAACACCCAGTGCTCCATGCAGAACATGCCCTCTTTAATACCCATCACCAGGCTAACCCATCCTCCCACCCCCCTCCCCTCTAGAACCCTCAGTTTGTTTTTCAGAGTCCATCGTCTCTCATGGTTCGTCTACCCCTCTGATTTCCCATGCTTCATTCTTCCCCTCCTGCTACCTTCTTCTTCTTCTTTTTTTTTCTTAACATATATTGCATTATTTGTTTCAGAGGTACAGATCTGAGATTCAACAGTCTTGCACAATTCACAGCGCTTACCAGAGCACATACCCTCCTCAGTGTCTATCACCCAGTCACCCCATCCCTCCCACCTCACCCCCCACTCCAGCAACACTCAGTTTGTTTCCTGCGATTAAGAATTCCTCATATCAGTGAGGTCATAGGATACATGTCTTTCTCTTTTTACTGTCAAGGTAATCTTTGAAAATTCAAATCTGATTATGTTATCACGCTGCTCAAGAGCCTTCTAAGATACTTTTGATCGAGTAGGATAAAATACAAGCTCCTCAACACGGCACAGAAGGTTCTCCAAATATAACCTCAGTCTATCTTTCCAGGCTCATCCCCCACCGCCCTGCCTCCTTCTCTTCTCGTTGTCCTGTTTATACATCCTTGTTATTGTGGGAACTAGGATACACTCCATTTAATTAATCTTTTGTTTGTATAAGAATTATGTCTTCATTTAACAAGTACTTACTCTGTTTTTAAATTGATCTAGTAATACACTCACACACACACAAGTGCATTTAAAAACTGGTGAAATCTTAATCATATTGTTTCAGTGTTAATTTCCTGGTTTTGACAATGACTATATATAGTTGAGTAAGTTGTAACCAGTGAGGGAATCTGGATGAAGAGTATGCAGGCCTTCTCTGTACTATTTTTAGCAACTTTTCATGAATCTATAATTCCCACAACTTAAAAAGGTTTTTTTTAAAAATGCACGTAGCATTGTGTTTTCTGTCCAGGAAGCAGAATGAGAAAAATAGTAAGACATGCAAGTACTATACCTTTAAATTATTATATTGTTGTATTATATGACTCCCCTTGCTTGCTGTTTGAGCCTGGGCTGTGGGGTATATGTTGGATTTCATCTTGGAAAGAAAAGCAAAATCCTTACTGGCACTAGAGCAAAGACTGGGCTTTTGAACCAGACAGACCCACACTGGATTCCAGTTCTGCTGTTTATAAACTAAATGAACTTGGGCAAGTCAGTTAACCCTGAGCCTCACTTTCACTGCAATTATAAAAAATTCTGATCATATGACCTACTTCCTAGGGGGTTTGGGGATATTTAAACAAGATAATGTATATAAACAAGGTAATATACTTAAACAGGACAAATGTAAAGTACTTAGCTTATAAATAAACACGCTTGACTCCCTTCTTTAAGGCCACATCAGCAAATCCTGTTGGCTCTTTTTTTTTTTTTTCCTGTTGGCACTATCTTTGAAATGTATCCAGAATCCTACTGCTTCTCACCTCTACCTGCTTAGTTCAAGCTCCTATTCTCTCCCCACTGAGTCACTCCAACAGCCTCTTAACTGGTTTCCTTGCTTGCTCCCCAATACGTACCTTACATTTAATCTGAACACAGCAGCCTGAGATATCTTGTCAATGTGTAAATGGAATCATGTTATTCCCCTGATCAAAATCCTCCAGTGGGTTCTCCTCTTACTCAAAGTAGAAGGCAAAGCTTTTGAATTGGCCTCCCATTGTCCCTGTCCTTCCCCACTTGCACCCAGCCACATACCTCTTCGATCCTATCTTCTCTCCTCCCCCTTACACTCAGCCCTGGGATGCTCCTAGTCCAGAATCTTTGTGCTGGCATTTCCTTTGCCTGGATTGTTCCTCTCCTAGATGCTTTAGTCCCACTTTTAAGTCAATGCTCAGAAGTCATTCTCATGAGGCCATCTTAATCACCCTACTTAAACCTGCAATCCCCATCTCTTCTTCCTCTATTGTTCCCCACACCACTTACCATTTTTAACATGCTATGTAACTTATGTATTGTCTGCCTCCCCCCACAGGGATGCAAGTTCCATGAGAACAAGTTTGTTTGCCACTATGTTCCAGTGTGTAGAATGGTGCCTGGTACATAGCTGGCCCTCAATAAAATCTTCCAAGTGAATGAATGAATGAATGAATTCCAGAAGAGTGAACATCATGAGTACAGCTACAGAAGTGTGGAAGAACATGGTCCATTCAGGAAACTGAGAGTGGATGAGTGTGACCAGAGTGGAATGTGTGTGTATGAGGGACCAAGTCTTTCTCCTTCCCTTTTCAGAAGACATCTTGAAGGGTCCTCAATACCCCATGCCTCTATTTCCTTACCTCCCACACTCTTCATCCTCCACCCTCTAGTTCTCTCTCTCTTTTTTAAAGGTTTTATTTATTTATTTGAGAGAGTGAGAGTGAGAGAGAACACAAGGTGGGGGGGCGGTGCAGGGGAGGGAGAAGCAGACTCCTCCCTGAGCAGGGAACCCGATGCAGGGCTAGATTCCAGGACCCTGGGATCATGACCTGAGCCAAAGGCAGGTGCTTCACCAACTGAGACACCTAGGCATCCCTCCTAGTTCTCTTCTGCCTCCATCACTCCACCACCAATAACTTCCAGATCAATGAAACCGGTTGTCATCTTGTTTAACCCCTGGGCCTGATTTGCACTGATGACTGGCCCATCCTTCTTGAAGCACTATTTTCCTTTGATTCTCATTTCACAACACTTAGTTTTCCTCTCACCTCTCTGGATGCCTCCTCTCAATCCCTTTAGCAGGCTAATACTGTCCTATTAACCCATTCAAAACGCTCCCTTCTAGACTCCCTCTTTGCCAACTCTACCCTCTTCCTAATCTTTCTTACCCATTCCATGGCCTCAGGGGCCACCTAGAGTGAGGCGACTCACGGATGTGTAGTTTTATCTCATACTGTCCCTTGGAGCTCCAGATTGACTTGCCCCTTATGTCCCAAAGGAACTTAAACTCAACATGCTCTAAACCATGCATGTGGTCTTCCCTCACCCAGCAAACCTACTCCCTAGATTCCTCAGACCTAGCCATTTTGTCTCTTGAGTCCAGAATGCTGTTACCTTTCCCCTTTGCCCATCGAAGCCCTTCCCAATTTGTAGAAAACAGCTCAAATGCCACTTCCATGGGGACAACTTTCCTGAGTTTCTGATTGGGTAAAATCTCCTGTTACATCATATACTTTTTCTCCATGGCATTTACCATAATTATTTTATATTTATTTGTGCAATTATTTGACAAAGATCTGAACCTCACCCCACTGCCCCAGCAAACTAAAGGCTGGGGTTATGTTATTTGTATTTGTGTCCCCAGACCTAGCATACTGCCTGGCAGATGATAGGTGCCCAATAAATATCCACTGTTTCCATTCTAGTAATAAAAATAATTGTAACTACAAATCACTGAGTACCAGGGATTGAACTATGCTTGACATTCATGTCCCATTTAATCTTTAAGATACACTTTGAGTCCACATCATTGTGTTTATGTACATATATGTGTATCTATACACACATATTTACATATATTAATATTGTATTATGTGTATTGCATAATATGTTTAAACAATATCATGTATATTTAATATGTATACATGCTGTATATATATATGTTATACATGTATATCTAATATATATAGCATGTATTTCAACAGGAATATATATATTATTATACTCTGTATATGTATCTTGTTTTTAAAATAAGGAAATTGAGACATAGCCAAATTAAGTAACTATCTCAGTTGCTTGGGACTTGGACTTGGGACTTGGACCCCAACTTCAGTGTCTTTTCTCCATCTATAGCCCATATAGAGAAGGCATATTGAAGATGTACAAATACATTTTTCAAGTATTATCAGCTTAATAATTTACACATTTAAATTAGGCTATTTTGCATAAGACATGACATGAATACATATGTAGTTGGATCATATAAGTAGTGTGGAGAGAACTTTAGGTGATTTTTAAAAATGTGGCCCATTCTTTCTATGCAATTGGTCCAGGACCACATGGTTGCTACTGCCTATTTGTGAATGATATTTCACTGTGGAAAAGGAGATTCAAACTCACCGACTTCATTGCAATGGTACATGTCCAGCCTCCTGACCCCCTCTAACCGGGTGTCCTCACTTAGGGAAGAGTCAACATCACCAAAGATGTTTCCATGCAGCCAGGATTTAGAGGCACCGAGGTTGAAGAGATTAGGAAAGGAACGGCGGATTCTCTTTTTCTTTCTAAATATTCTGGAGAGAAATGAAAGTAGCATGATGCATAATGAATAGCAGCCACCTTTGGTTCAAAACCAAGAATTTAGTGGAAGTGATTTGATGCATAGAACACATCTCTGTAATTCAGATCCGCAAAGCTCATTTCATTTGTTCCCTCTGTTAATCCCACAGAAGTTCCTTAAATTTCTGTGTGTTCCAGGTGCCTGGATCAATATCAAAGATACTGAGATACAAAATAAAACCTTCAGTACAAAAAGTTCACAAACCAGTACAGGAAAGAGACAAGAACTATGCAGATGAAGTTAATGACTTCACAGAGCTTATCCCACACCAGATGTCTTTCCTTGTGGTTTACATAAAGTAACACATTATCCTTGGAACAGCCCCGTGACGGAAGTACTATTGTGACCCCATTTTTCAGATCAGGAGACTGAGGCACAAAAGGTTAAGTAACTTGGCTGAGGTCATACATCCAGTAAGTGTCATAACTGGGATGCAAACCCAGGCAGGCTGGCTCCATAGTCTCTGCTCTGCATTACCATGCTATGTAGGGGATGTGTGCTCTGACGGAATTAACTGGAGGCTGATCTGAGAGCACCAGGAAGGGCATTGCTGATCAGGAGTCAAGAAAGGTTTCTGAGGATAGGTGACCACTGAGCTGCATAGGATGATCTGTCCTATTCATTGAAGAACAAGTCAGTCTTATATTGGGCCATGCTAGGAAATGAGGCTGGAAGAGGTAAAATTAAGGCAGGGAATAAAGAATCTTGACTGGTTCTCCATTATTGTAACATTATGTGAAGAGTTGGAATTTGATGTTAGAGCAAAGGGAAACCACTGGGTATGTCAAGGGAGGGGCATGGTGATGACATAATTTGATTTGCATTTCTGAAAGATTTTGACTACTCACCCATCCACACTCCCAGCAACCCATCCTCCACATTGTAATCAGTATTAATGTGCTAAGGATAAATCTGGTCATTTGTCATTTGTCAATGGCTCCTCTCTACCTTCGGAACAAAAATCAATGCCCTCAGCTGGACTTGAAGCTTCTCTGTTCAGTCTGTATCTGCTCAGTCTTTTCTCCCGTCCCTTCCACCCTGAGTTGTATCTCTGCCAAACCACCTGCCATTTCCCAAATGGCACAGGGTCTCCCAGTGCCCCATGCCCATTCCCTCTCTGGAAGTCTCCTTTGCTACTTCCATTTTAGCTAACATCCTACATCTGTGAAGACTCAAATCAATCTTCATTATCTCTAGGAATCTTGTTTTAACCTGTTTCCCCAAATGAAATAGGCTTCCTTACCTTTTCCCCACTGCATTCTGTTCAGACCTCTACCCACACACCAATTTGCTTCATCATGTTTGTTTGTTTTCATGTTAGCTGTCCTTGCCCCATGTTAGTCTTTGTGCTTCCACAGTCTGGAGCAGTAATGGGCTCTTAGAAATCACTGCTAATTGCACTACTGAGTATATACCCCAAAGATACAAAAGTAGGGATCCGAAGGGGTACGTGCACCCCGATGTTTATAGCAGCAATGTCCACAATAGCCAAACTGTGGAAAGAGCCAAGATGTCCATCGACAGATGACTGGATAAAGAAGATGTGGTATATATATACAATGGAATATTATGCAGCCATCAAAAGGAATGAGATCTTGTCATTTGCAACGACGTGGATGGAACTGGAGGATATCATGTTGAGTGAAATAAGTCAAAAAGAGAAAGACATGTATCATATGATCTCACTGATATGAGGAATTCTTAATTGCAGGAAACAAACAGGGTTGCTGGAGTGGGGGGTGGGGTGGGAGGGATGGGGTGACTGGGTGATAGACACTGGGGAGGGTATGTGCTCTGGTAAGCGCTGTGAATTATGCAAGACTGTTGAATCTCAGATCTGTACCTCTGAAACAAATAATGCAATATATGTTAAGAAAAAAAAAAAGAAGAAGAAGAAGAAGGTAGCAGGAGGGGAAGAATGAAGCAGGGGAAATCGGAGGGGTAGACGAACCATGAGAGACGATGGACTCTGAAAAACAAACTGAGGGTTCTAGAGGGGAGGGGGGTGGGAGGATGGGTTAGCCTGGTGGTGGGTATTGAGGAGGGCACGTTCTGCATGGAGCACTGGGTGGTATGCACAAACAATGAATCATGGAACACTACATCTAAAACTAATGATGTAATGTAGGGGATTAACATAAGAATAAAAAAAAAAACAGAAATCACTGCTAAATGAGCAAATGAATGAATGAATAACTAGTGGGTGGATTGGACTTCAGATTCTTTTATGTAATATCTTCTACTTACCTCACTAAATTCTCCTTGTAAAGGACACTGGTCTGGGGTGGGCTCAGAGTTATGTTGCCATCTTTGTCACAGAGGAAACTGTCTTCTGTCCAAGTGTAGTAGCCATTGGAGAGGAGTCTGGGACTTCGGCGACAGGCAAAGTGGGAGGCTGTCTGGAGATCTACAGAGCAGCATTCAAAGGAAGTGTCACCATCTAGGAAATCATAGGCAAAACTGAAGAGGGAAGAAGGAAAGTCCTTTACATCTCTAACCACTACATCCGGTCCCACAAAAACCACATTTCTAGCCACTGTGAAGGAAAATACCTCTTTGCATTCATGGCTAGCAGTTACTTCTGCCACCCTAAGAATGTCACTCTTAATCTGGGCTTCATCTTCTCACTAGTGAGAGCATTAAACGACAGGGTATTTAGTGCCTCTTTCTGTTTTAAACATGTTGATAAAAACATTATGGTTAATCAGTCTATTCACCATATGATGCAACTACATCTTTGACATTAATCCATTTTCTTGGATGGAAAAATTGCAAAACAGCCTATCTGGGATGTTGGAAGCTTATAGTCTCCACCCCCTTTCTTTGAATAGCCCTCCAATTGCAGTATCTTTACTCTTTCCCTGTGATTGATAAATTACAACTATGCAGCCACCAGATACAGATGAAGTATAGGGTGAACATGCAGTCAAAGAGATCTTTTTGGCCTTTGCCAATTTCCCTCTAGGTCAGCTGTACAAATGACCTTGCAGTTTGTGATTTGGTATCCAGGGAAATCTCCTATTCAGTTGGAAAAATCTCCATGTGCCTTAGGTTTGATAAACAATCATATGCCTGTGTGATTGAAAGGCCACCTCATGCCACAAGCTCTACTGAATTTCTGATAAAGTTTTATTTAATTTTTTAAAGATTTTATTTATTTATTTGGGAGAGAGAGCACAAACTGGGGGTGGGGGGATCAGAGGAAGAGGGAGAGGCAGACTCCCCACTGAGCAAAGAGCCCAGGATCATGACCAGAGCCAAATGCAGACACTTAACCGACTGAGCCCTCTGATAAAGTTTTAAGTGTAGAAACCTGTACACAATTAATACATGCACTAAAGTTAGTAAAATGCTATTTTAAATGGATATTATTTATTAAAAGCTTACTATGAGCCTGGCTCATACTTCATGCTCTATCTACTTTTCACAAACCTCCCCAAAAGCTAAGTATTATAATCTTCATTGGACTGTAGGGGAAAAAAAAAAACATGAAAAAAAAAAAAAAAACATGAGATGCAGAAGGACAAATAACTTGGACATTTTATGATAGCTGATGAATGACAGAGTTAGGATTTGAGCTCCGGTCTATCTGACTCTAAAGCATGTGCTCGTTCCTCATGGCCTTCTTGTTCATCCTTGGCTGATTCATCTGATAGTAGCAAGAGGCCTAGAATTTACAAATAAGGGCAGGTTCTAACACCAATGCATGATTCCTTTATACCATTGGCACATTTTACAAAATGCTAGAGAAAACATCAATGAGACCTGCATAAGGAATAAGAGAGAAGAGACAGAAAAAAAAAAAAAAAAGAAGGAAGAAGGAAGAGAAGAGACTTCATTGTAGAACTTGAACAAAATGGCAGACTCTACGTGTTTTTGTGGAGAATGGAATTTGGCCAGCTTGGGCATTGGTGTAGAATCTTGTTGCTCTTATAAAGCAAGATAGTAAAGCATATTTAGGAGAATACCAATTTGAGAAAAAGTAACTGTTCATCAGCAACCAGCAGTTTCTCCGCTCTCCAAACAACTCACATTTGCTCCCACACTCACAGCCACCCCCTCAAATTCCATTATTAGGTTAGAAAAGTTTTCATTTTGTATGTACATGGGACTAAAGATTTATGCCCATACCAAAATTGGATGATAGCTAAAGCTAATATTTTTAAACCAGGAATACAACAAAGTAAGACACATAGGAGGAAACATGATTGATTTATCTTGAGAAAAGTCCCATGGAATACCTTGGGAAAACACATGTGGAAGATGGCTCTCCAGTATATCTTCTCTCAGAGTCAGAAGAACCTGCATCAGCAAACAGGAGAGAAGTACGAATTTATCCCACCTCCCCAGCATGCATGACTGCATTTAATGGAGGCGTCAAAGAAGGTATGAATAGCTCCAGGCTCAGCAGAGATTCCAACTGGTGTAGCCATCCAGTGAATCAGGACTAACACGACTTGTCACCAGGCCTTTATGGGGAGCCAGAAATAATCTACGGGCTTCTATCTTCTGTTTCTTCTCTCACTCAACATTCCTTTAGAGGTTTCTTAGTGGAGGATGAGGCAATAATAAACCATTAGCATCAAACTGACTCATCGTGAAAAGGAGGAAGAAAGCATCTTGTGTGAAGCTGTAGAAAACCAAAATCAATGACCCAATGTGCTAGTTATTTTAGCTTACTCAGTAATTTGAAGAATTCAATCATCTGCCTAGACTGTCTCTCATTAGAGCATTTTAAGGCACTTCTATTGTAAAATAACGAGCAGAAGACATTAGTGGAGGAAAATAAATTAAGTTTTGTTTTGTTTTATATAAATGATTTTCCAATGTATGAAGCCTGTGAATATTCTTAATGAAAAAAAAAAAAAAAACATCCATCCATTCAATCCACTTTAACCAAAGGCATAGCAACAGATTTCAGTTGGGGAAAGTGCAGCTAATTAATATTCTAAACTCTAAAGCAGGATTTTATACAGTAATGTGTGAACACTTACAATAGGCTCAGTGAAACTTGATTCCACTGTGGACGATTAATATCTAAGATAAAGTTTAGGCTTTCAGATTGGGCTGGTTGATTTGTAAGGAGTAAATTGTAGGTGTGTGTGTGGGGGGGAGGGGTTAGAAGCAGGGCTTGGGGAGAAAATGACAAGAGGAAGGAAGAAACTTGAAACCACTACCATTTTAACAACGCCCTTACTTCCTGCAAGTAGCTATCAAAATCATTCAGTATTTTTTATAGACAGTTTTGCATCTTAATAGTAGCTGATAAACAATCTCCTTTCACATTTATGCACAGGCATCTAAAAAACCAGTGATTTTTTTTCTACTAAAAAGACAAATACCACATTTCTCTCAAGGAAAGAAATGAAGTCAAAATCATTGCCAAAGTGAACACTGGCACTTACGAAGCACAAGCTACTGACAGATGGTTAATGGTATGAGTATCAGCAAAATCAAAGCAAGGAAATTGCTAAAAGAAGTCTAATCGTTCAAAAGATAATTGCGCATAGCAGTTCTCCTACATTTACTTGCCACTGGTGTTAACATCAGTTGAGATATTCGGTACATCTTGGGAAGGCTGCTTGTTCAAACTTCACAGATTTTCTGAAAGAGCCATGAAAAAAAGGTGGATTATATATTAAAAATAGAAAATTGATGCCACAACAGATGGCATCTACTAATTGCTCCAGTCAGACTTGTTTACTGAATGACACAGAGATTTAGGACTGAAGGAGGAGACTGGAATGAGTGACCACCGAGGTTGTGCCTGTGTGTACGATTTTGTATTATTTCCCATTGTCTGGCTGAGTGCATCCAAATAATCTTGTTCTGTAAATAAGAACAACATTTTATTTGGGAAAGCTAGATTTACGTGATTGATTTGTCATCAAAATAAACAATGCAAGCGAATTATTTGACTAAGAAATCAGAAAAAAAAGATTGGGTTGCAGAGCCCTCTAAATAAGTGTATTTGTAGTTTTGTCATCTAACACACATCGCCCTCTTCATCAAGTTTCAAGCAATACCTGGGGATTGGTGTTGGTCTTTTGTGCAACACCTTGAACCATTGAGAGGTAGTCATAGTGAAGGCTGACAGTCTTTAGTAGATGCCGTCAGCCTGGACATTCCCAAGTAGCACAAGCAGTGTTTCGGTAAAAATAGCCTACCACCAGGCAGATTTCAAATTGCAGTTCTCATGAACATATAAATTTACTTTCTCAATTACAAATTTAAAATATATCCAAGTGTGTAAATTATGTAGACTTTGATCATGTACCACTCATCACATAGATCTACCTGCTGTAGACTATGACACTTTTTTTACACATCACTATCCTGATAACCTTGCAAGGTAGGACTAAATTCTTTTCTGATTTACCACCTCTCCACATTTTAATTTTTTTTATTTTATTTATTTATTTATTTATTTATTTATTAAGATTTTATTTATTTATTTGAGAGAGAGAGACTGAGAGAGAGAGCACATGAGAGGGGGGAGGGTCAGAGGGAGAAGCAGACTCCCCGCCGAGCAGGGAGCCCGATGCGGGACTCGATCCAGGGACTCCAGGATCATGACCTGAGCCGAAGGCAGTCGCTTAACCAACTGAGCCACCCAGGCGCCCCCTCTCCACATTTTTAAAATGTGATAACTAGTAATGGATTGTTTTTGTAGCTGTCATACATTAAATCAAACCAGGATAATCCTACAGCTCCAAAATTGATTCTTTCAATAAATTAGATGCAACACCTTTTAGAAAAATAGAGATCCTAGCTTATAGAGACCCCTAGAGAAGTCAGGAGAACTTTCTGGCATTCCTTGGAAGATCTCTAAATCAAGGCACACATTCATAGATTTTTGTTTGGAATATAAAATAATATTGTTTGCACCATAATATAATAGTTTGCCACTGTCCTTTTGATTTTTGATCAATATCATCTGAAGTGTGCAGCCCAAATTATACCATGTTAGCTTTCCCCAAGCTTTAAGTTTAATTTTAAACCAACAAGTCCTGTGGCAGAAAGCAAGGTTTTACTGCTATATCTTACAGATATTTGCATCAAGCTACAGGCAGTATGCTAACAGTTAATCGAGTATTAGTAACACTGAAAAAACCTTCAGTAACAGCTCTAAATCTTTTCAAGAAACAGATTCTGTCTACCAGTCCCATCAAAGTAACACATCCGTTCTGCAAAATAATCTGTCCATACATGTTCCTTCTAAAGGGACTTCCCAGTTTCTCCTTCCTATTGATAAATAGAAGAATTACTGACGTGCAAAGTTTCCTCTGGGCGACAGTGGAGAAATCCAGGACTTAGCGGTTCTTCAGCTGAAAATAATGTCAGAGTGTCAACAGGTGCCGAGAAGTCTTGTAATAAAGGGAAATCCATTCCATCCTTCTAACAGAGGTATGCACACATCACTGTGTGCAGGAGTTTGCAGAGTATCATCTTCAGTGGCCTCTTGTTCGTTTGGCTCTTTCCTAGAATAAAAGGGCATGTAGTTCTTGAGAAAGTCAGCTTTATAACTGCTCTTGTTTTCTTTCAAAATCAGCCTGCATAACCAGAGACTGAGAGGCAGGATGAGGTCACACTTCCTGTTGGGCTCTCATCAGTGGCATTCACACCCAGGAGTATGGTGAAGACTCGAAATAGTTTCCTGGACCAGCGGCAGGGGATGTGGAGCACACAAATCGGGCCAGCTGGATACATCACGGTCACTCGAGGGATGCTTTTCTGAGCTACCTCATCACCCTCACTGCGAGGACATAAGAAGAACTTCTGGAGAAGCAACACTTCTTGCTTGTCATCCTCTGGGCCTTTTCAATATAGTAGTGCATAGTTGTGCTCTGTCCAAATCAGTTAAATTTATTGGTGATAATGCACTGATGTTATGAAATTCAGAATACTCTTCAATACCAGGAACTGGATTTTGTGAAAATGTGTGTAGCGGCAATATGCTGATTCACCAAAGGTTGAAGCTTTACAGGAAACTCTATGGGTGGCACTTTACATTTTATGCTTATATTTTAGCTGAGATCAAAGAATTTCCTGTCAGCGGGTTCCTAAAAATCTCTGCTATTGTAAATGATAAAAAAAAAAAATACATTCTAGCAACACTAAGGTGCGATGGATTTGGAAAGGGTGTGGGTTTTGGAGTTACACAGGCTGAGACTCAAACTCTGTCTGCCTACCAGCTATGTAACCTTGGATTTGTGACTTAACCTCTTTGAGCTGCAGTTCTTTCAATTATGAGTAATAATATACATTTTGCAGAATGCCTTGGGGAATGACATGAGATAAAAGAAATGAGAAATAAGTGAATCATCAGCTCAGATGTGCAAGATGTGTTCTTTGTTTCTTTTCTGTAGATCAGTTTTTCTTCTGAAGCCCCAGTGGGTCAGCCTGGCAGAAAAGTCAATCTCATTCTTTCTTGAGGCTCCCTTTCTCCCTGAGGTTATGCCACAGGCTGGATCTTCTGTAGAACATGCCCCTAGCAGCAGAAGCTGTTGGGGGAGAGTGCATCTAGTCTGTGGTAGACCTCTTGCAAAGATGGCCTTCAAAGATCTTTGTGGGATCCCCTCCGCTTCAGTGTGGGCTGAAGCAAGTAACTTACTTCTCCTGCATAGATATGACACAAGTGATGGGTTGTCACTCCCATGATTAGGTTACAAAAGACCTGGCTTCTGTCTTGTTGGCCTCTCTATTACCTTCTAGGCTTACACAATTTGATGAAACAAGTGGCCATGTTGCAGAAGCACACAAACAAGAACAACAGCCACGTGAGTGAGCTTAGAAGTGGATCTTTCTCCAGTTGAGCCTTGAGATGACTGTATCTCCAGCTAACACTTTGTTTGCAGCCCGTGAACACCCTCAAGCAGAGAAGTCAGCTCAGCATTGTCCACATTTCTGACCCCTAGAAACTATGTGATAATAAATGGTGTTTTAAGGCACCAAGTTTTGGGGTCATTCTTACACAACGATAGAGTAACTAATACATAGTCCTAACACATACTACTTTCTGGGCCATTTGTTTTTGCCGTCTATTTTGTCAGGATCTTTTGCTGCCTTAGTGCCATCCTTAGAATACAGGCACATTTATTCCAGACTGTGTCTGGTCACATCTGCCTACACTTACCAGATAGCCATTCTGCTCTACAGCTGTTTTGGGAGTCTGGTACCCTCTTTCTTGTAATCCGTAACTCTCCCCCTTCTCATCTTTTCCTGTTTCTCCTATTCTTTCTATTTTCATCCTCTTCCTTCCAGCCCTGGCTCATGTTTTCTAGAGGAGGAAGGACAAGAAAATCCTTCTGACTTCCTCAAAGACCCTGTGCTCTGCCTATGTCCACAAATCCCCTTTCCCAAAAGGCTGACATCAAAAAGACTTTACTTTTTGGTCTATTCCTTTACTGATCCAGAACATATTGGGACCTCATTAATGATCATAGTCATTACTCACTTTATGGAGCCCTTACTATTTGCCAGGCACTGTTTTACTTCCTTTATATATATTAGCACATTTAATCCTCATACCCACTGCATGAGGGAGGCTCTGTTATTATCCTCATTTTACAGGTGAGAAAACTGAGGCACAGAGAGTTCAATACTTTGCCTAAAGTCACAGAGCCAGTAAAGGGTGAGCTGGTAGAGCTACGATTCTAAGCTTGGATTTTCAACCTGTAAGCAATAGCGATCACTTCAAACAAGTTTGAGCATTCCCTACGAACCAGGCACTGTACGAAACACTGTATGTGTGCAATCTTGTTTAAACCTCACGCAGCCCTAGGAAATATTATCCACATGCAGGATGGAGGGTTAGGGAGTTTACATAATTCTCTCAACACTACAAAGTGTCAGAGCCAGAATTCCAGTTTCCCCTTTGCTCCTCTCTCCTCAGACCCACTTTTTCCTTGCTATTACTTAAACGTCAGACTTGTGCTTGCCCCAGGATCTTTGTGCTCACTCTTCTCTCTGCCCAGAATATCCCCCTGATAGTCACAGAGTGTTCTTCCTCACCTCCCTTAGCTCTTGACTCAGCTGCTTTGGTCACTCACTAAATTGCCTTCCACACAATCTCCTTATTCTTCCCCCTGCTTTATTCTTCTCCTTAGTACTTCTGACTATATCACATACCACAGCATTTATTTTTTTGTAGTGATAAATATATTCCTCAGCAGACTGTAAGCTTGATGAAGGCGGAGGATTTGGTCACTTTTCTTCATTACTGTAGACCCAGTATCAAGAATACTGCCTGCCATATAATAGGTTATCCATTAATATTTGTAGAATCAATGAATAACTGAATTAAAAGCTAGGCAGAACTGACTTTAGCACCTTTATCTTGCATGCTAGAAATCAGTGTTTTTAACAGGATGTCCCAAGGAAGGTTCAATTCTCCACTATTAATGGAGGTTATGTGTGCAGAAAGGGAAAGGGTGAGCAGTAAATTTAAGCCCGCTCTCACCACTGGAAGTCCTACCCAGAGCAACTAGCAAGACAAATAAATAAAAGGTATTCAAATCAGAAAGGAAGAAGTAAAATTATCCATTTGCAGATGACATGATCTTATATATAGAAAACCCTAAAGATTCTTAAAAAAACTGTTAGAACTCATAAATGAATTCAGTAATGTGTGTTTTTTTTTAGGATTTATGTAAGATTTCTTGCAGCTAGAATTCCTGTCTCAAAAATGCTCTAGATATGTCCTTACCATTTGCTCAGGGTTCATATCTGAATGACATTGGGAATAATTTTTTTAAGAGATTGAAATGGAGAGAGACAGACTGAGACATGGGGTGGGGGTCAGGCAGAGGAGGGGAATGGGAAGAGACCAATTAGCTCATGAAAACCCTATCATAAAGTCTAAGTAGGAGCCTGCATTCTTGGTGGCAAGAACCGGGTTCTGTTGGTCTCTGTAATCTACAGCAGCAGATACAAGGCTGTTGCAAAGTAAGTCCTCAGATGTGTATTTTCATGGAATCACAGTGAGTGAAACTGAGACCACCCTCAGAGATTACAATGACTAAAAATATGTGTCCCTGTGACTGGTGAGAAAGAAACATCAGGAAACACCTGACATTTGTATATCAATTATAATTGGCGAAACATGTAAGACTTGTTCTATTGAGTTTAATCCTCATTACAAACCTGGGAAGTAGCTTTTATATTCCCATTTCTATGTGAGGAAGGAGAATCAGAGATGTGTCTAGTTCCTAACATTCTGGTAATAGTGTCAGGTTTAATTTACAACTCCTGGTCTCATTCCAAACCCCTAGCTCTTCATTATTTTAAGTTGTTAATTAATTAATTAATTAATTTTTAAAAGATTTTATTTATTTATATGAGAGAGAGATAGCAAGAGAGAGAGAGCAGGAGCAGGAGGGAGGGGGAGAAGCAGACTCCCCGCTGAGCAGGGAGTCTGGACCCTGGGATCATGACCTGAGCCAAAGGCAGAGGCTTAACTAACTGAGCCACTCAGGCACCCCTAACTTGCTATTAAAAAAAAAATAACAAGAAACAAGTTAATGCATTTATTTCCTTTAAATTTATAGTCTTCTATGATCTTCAGAGTTAAAAAAAAAGAAAGAAAGAAAATCAAGTGGTGTTTACCCTTATCCTGGTGAAACTGGCTCTCTTGAATGTTTTGCAAAAATACAAAAGAGGAAGTAATCCCACACCTGACCACAAAGTTGTGTTGCTGCAATATTTTTTACTGAGGCAAAACAGTGAACTGTGGCAATGCTTGGGCAGGCAAGTTCTCTGCCCCTACCCACCCCCATTCCCTCCCCCAGAGGGGCACCTTTTCATCGGACTGTCAAGCAGTTACTTTGGAGATGTTGGTATTGTGTTCTGGTCCCAACCAAGAGGACAGACACTTAGACCAGTGACAAGTGACCAGTTAGAGCACATATTCTGACCTTGCACATCCATGTGTGCTGACACATACATACACTGTACCCAAAGCACCTTTTTGTGTGTTGGTCTAGTTGACCGCCCCGTTAAATGCCTCAAGATCAGGAATTAAGCTCATTTATCACTATGCTCCTTGGGCCTAGCACTGTACTTGGCACATTGCAGATGTTCAACAAAAGCTTGTGGGAAGGAAATGGAAGTAGAATGATATTTCTTATCTGCAAAAGCTTGCATCAAAACTATAAAGAACTATAGGGCAATAATAATTTTAGAATCTGCACAGAACCCTTGTTTGAAGCTTACTCATCCTCAAAGCATTTTTCAAATGCCACTTCCTCTATGCAGTCTTCCTTGATTTGCTGAGTCAGAATACACACAGGAATGTATGTCTATTTCAAATGGATTAATATTTAACTGAATATTAATACTGCTATTATGCCTGGTTGTTTCTGTATCCATCTTCCCACCATGGCACATCACCTTAGAATTGGATACCTAGTTTTATTTTTCTTCCTGTTCTCTCACCATCCATTGCCCAGTTTCTAGCACTCAGGAGAATT